TAAATATATATTTTTTTAAATAAATATATATATATTTTTAATAAATAAGAGTATTCATTAATAAGGTTGTGTGAAAATATTTCCATTCATTTCTGTAAATTTAAAGGTATTCATTTTAATAAACGTTCACTGAAAGAGAAATATGTACAAACAATTGAAGGAAAACGATGGAGTGGATTGCTGGAATAAAGTGCCAGGATTCCTAGAGACCTTCCTAGAGGGCAAGCCGTAGCATGCTTTAGAATGCTCACAGGCCATGATTTCCTTCAGAAGCACCTCCACCGCATCGGTGTAAAAGATAGCCCGACATGCCCTCTATGTTCCTTAGACATGATGACAGGAGAACATCTTGATACATGCCCAGCATTACAGGACATAAGATGTTCCTTTAATGAAATGGACAGCCCTTATGCTCGGAGAGCAAAACTGCATTGCAGCAAGACTGCAAGAGCACGCATGGCTAATGAAGCAGGCGTTACTTAGGCGTAGGAAAAAAAAAAAAAAAAATTTAATAAACGTGAATACTGCCGTATTCACTTTCCAAGTGTATACGTATCATAGTATAGAATAGGTATCATCTGTATTCATATTTCTTTTTACGAATATAAATATATTCATAAGTAAAATAAATATAAATGGTATTCGTATTTATATTTTTTAATATAAATGTGCCCATCTCTGCCCTGACATGAGCAGAACTAGATTAGCTTGCTGCCTTTTAACTATTGTTAAACGATTTTAACTTTTAACTATTTTAACTATTGATTTATTCAACTATTGTTACTAACTTCCAATAAAGGTGTATATTACAATACATATACAACTAAATACCAACATGTGTTCCAAAATCGGTTTTCCATAGTCCGAATACTAAAACTAAATACTAAAATAAAACCATTTTTCATTTTTTTTTTTTATCCAACTCCGTGGTGATTCACAGTTTGGGAACAGCTGATGACAAAGCATAATGAGACAAAATTAGTAATAAGGTCCAACATTATTTTATACAAACAATTTTTGCATCCTGAGTTGGTTTATGTGTTGTTTGAAGCAATTGAGACAAGGATATTAGCATCAAATTGATACATTAAGACTACTCCATCGTATCATGCATTTCTCTCGATATTCTTTATTCCTTCAAAGGTTATTTTTTGGTCCTATTATAAAAAATATTACTTGTTGCCTTTAATTTAATTCCACACACACACACCCATACTTGGTGGGACTTGGTTTTTTGGACTCAAAGGACCTTGAATGTTAATCTCCATTGAAACCTTGAAAACCCAAATATTTTTTTCACAAGCACTATACATTACCTAACTTTATATTACTATACTATATTATGATGTAAGTTTTTTTTTTCTCTTATGCCAGTCGTTGGTCATTTGGTCATCTGACATCTTGCTGCCCACTATAATTTTGACTTTCTGATATATATGTTTGAAAATATGTTTTCTCTTATGTCCCTCAAGGCAGGACATGCGTCTAGATGGTCTGCATCCATTGTTCCTTGATGACACAATTTACAGATAGGATCCTCAGCCACGCCTATCTTGTAGAGATGACTGCAGATAGTCGTGACCAGTGGCCAGGCGGAAGCAGGCACCTGCATCTCTTCTCGGCACCTGCAGCTCAGCTGGAATCGGATTATCCTTCAACCACTCATAACGTTTCCCTTCCACTTTGCCGAAATGTGCTTTTCTTATTTCTTCCTTCACTAGCATCTTTACCATTCGCCGTATTGAGTCATAGGGTTTTGGATGTATCGGCTGAGGCAAATCTGTTCCTCGCTTGGCGAGAATATCAGCCTTAACGTTTCCCGGAAGCCCACAATGGCTGGGGATCCACTGTAGGACCACATTGGTGCCTTGGTGTGTCAGGTTAGAGAGGAGGAATTTACATTCCAATACAGCACTCGATAAAGATTCATTCGTGCTTGTAACAGTGAGGATGGCTGCTTGGGAGTCGATGAAGAGAACAGCGCTCTGGTTCTGCCTTCTAGACAATGTTCTTAAGGCTATGAGGATCGCCGCTATCTCACCGTCGAAATTTGCTCCATCTTTACCCACCGCAGCGCCGATTTGGAATTCCCTTGAGTAAACCCCTGCTCCAGCATTTTTAACGGCTAATTCAGCTGATCCGTCGGTATAGATACGGAGCCAATCTTTAGGAGGGTTCCTTTGAGTAGGTAAGTAAAAGTAACAATATTTCTACAGTGATCAAATCGAAAATTCTGATAAAGAAATAAATGAAAAACAAAAATCTAATGTGGAAAGTTTAAGTTTAAGAGGCAAGAACTTCAGTTTCAAACAGTTCTTGTCTCGACTTCAAAACGATAGCCCTGATGATGACCCACATATTTAGGTAAAAATGTTGGCTAACTCTTTAAAGAAATTTTGGCTGAAGTTCCTGACAATTTTGTTTCATCTGTAATGTAAAAATGTATATTTCATTTATTTATTTCTAAGTATCTATAATAAACGTTGATACTCCTAAATTAGATCAAGCCCAACACACTCTGATAAGAAAAAATGTTTCACTACCTACTGATACAATTAAGAAGGTACCAGTGAAAGATAATGAAATCTCAAACAAAATAAAACTATTAAAAACCAAAAAATCTCCTGGCTACGACGAAGTCACACCAATAATTTTTCAGAAAATCTTTGATATTTTGACTAATTTAATTAAACATTGGTATGAACTACTCTTTAGAAGAAAAGAGTCCAGACAATTAGAAAACTGGTCTATTAGTTTTTGCGTAAGCTCAGACCCATTACCATGCTGCCTATTATGAGCAAAATTTTTGAAAAACTATAAAAATCAGGCTTACCTATTATCTAATTCAACATGTAATCTGAAGCAAATACCAATTTGCATTTATACCAAAACCTAGAACACTTAATGCATTACATACATTGACGATGGACATTAAAAACGCTTTAAGAGAACGTGATCAACTCCTAGAAATCAGTCTCAATATCAATGGAACGTTTGAAAATACTTGGTGGCCTGCAATTTTACATATAATCTTAAAAACTATAACTCTCCTAAGAATGTATATTTGTTGAAAAGAAGTATGGTTGGGGTGATCAGTCAAAATAAAAATAGTAAAAATAAATAATTATATTTTTCACATTCGCCGAAGTTTCAGCCCCAAGTTCAGGGCTAAGAAAAGAATGAAGAAAGAAAATCAGATGGCGCCATCTGCCAGCTCCCCTCCTCTTGCTACAATAGCTCTGTCTGTCCACGCTTGTTGGATTGAACAGGTAGTTTATCTTTCTTATCTTATTTTTATACTTTTTTTTTTTTCCTCCTTCCCGTCACTCTATTTTTTATATATTGATACATTTGCTCATTCATATTTTTTACATTATTTTAACTTTTTATTCTCTTATACGTAGTCAATATTTTCGATAGATTTTACAATATCTTGATTTTCTATTTATATCTATTATTTCCTTATATAACTTCATATTTCTTTTCTCTGTTTTACATTTTTTTCTAAGATAACCATTTTTCATTTCTTATGTTATCTTATTTTGATTATGTTTATTTAATTGGTCCGTACTTTGTTGCTGTTATTATTATTTATTTCTTAGCTCTCGGTTACTGTTATTATTCTAACCACTTTATTTTACTTTAAGTTTTTTATACCTACCTTTTTTTAATTTTAATTCTTTATTATTCAATTTTTATACTTTCTCATACCTATTGTTGTCTGGTTCTTTTCTTATCTCTGATGAGGGCCTGAACTTAGGGCCGAAACGTCAACAAACATGAAAATAAATATAATTATTTATTTTTACAATTTTTTTTTTTTACTGATCACCACAACCATCCTTCTCTTCAATTATTCACTACTGTCAACCATCAACCCAAAATTTATATTTGTTAATAGAAAATTTTCTTGAAAACAGGTGCTTCATTTATAAAATGAATACCTTTTCCTACACAAAAAGTCTTTCGATAAGGGTCCCTCAAGGATCATGTGTCTCACCAATCCTCTGAAATATCCTTATAAATACAATTTTTGAGCTACACTTACCAACAGACTCAAAACTAATTATCTATGCAGACGATATAATACTTTTAATCAGGGGAAAATGCTTTCAAAATTTACAAGATTTATTATGAAAATGCTTTCGATATTTACAAGAGTTGATTTACTTGATTGGACAAACACCTACAAATTAAAACTAAAAACACAGAAATGCAAATAAATTATTTTTAGCAAGAAAATAAACAAACAAATAAACAAAACTGAAACACTGACTTTATTTGGGTGTTCTATTCGACAAACTAAATTGGAGAAAACACATTGAAAGCATTTACTTGAGGACTTTACAAACCATAAACTCTCTGACCATTGCTGCAAGGGCTACGTGGGGTCTAAGAATTGAGTGTCTGGAGACAACTTACGAAGCAGCTTTAATTCCCAAGATGCTTTACACTATACCAAAATCAAAGAGTTACTCAAGTTATTATCGATCAAACTGTTAACCAGTGATTATGGAGAAATTTCATACAACTCAATAGAAAATGAATATGAACCTATAAATTGGTTACATTCATCAATAAATGCTAAGTTATACTCACGATTGACACAAAACACAGAAACTAATAAAAATATTACAAATATATATGCAGACGGGAGAAAAGATGGAATAATGTAGCTGCACATGGGTGGTTCAGGACATAAAGGGGACAATGGTTAGTGCCAAGTTAAAACTGGATGCTACATATTCCAACAACCAGGACGAAAAGCACCCAGTTGTAAAAGCCACATAACACTTTCTTGACTATAATTAAAAAAAAAAAAAAAAAGAAAGATCAGCTTTGCATGCTCAAATAAGTTCTGACTTTAATAAAACTTATAAAAGTATTAAGAAAGTGTTTACTTTCAGTTAAGCATTTTTTTTTTTAAATTCCAAACCAATGTTCTTATTTGAAAACAATGGTCTGTACACAGTTAATAAATAATGTTTTCTAGCACTTACTGTTTCCTGATCCTGTGAAACTGATTGTGCTGATTGTGATGCCATGGTAGAATGATGAATAGGATTATTAATAAACTCTATACCTTGCTGATTATTTTCTTGCTTCATTAGACTCATATAAATTTCTAGCTGGTCAGCCTGAATTAAAAAAATATAGATAATAAAAACTAGTGAGAACTCTCATATTAAATTAAATATTTATTAAAACTATCACATCTAGTCCAATCAATAAATGCTCGAAAAGATCGAAAAAAAAGAAAGATCAGCTTTGCATGCTCAAATAAGTTCTGACTTTAATAAAACTTATAAAAGTATTAAGAAAGTGTTTACTTTCAGATAAGCATTTTTTTTTTTAAATTCCAAACCAATGTTCTTATTTGGAAACAATGGTCTGTACACAGTTAATAAATAATGTTTTCTAGCACTTACTGTTTCCTGATCCTGTGAAACTGATTGTGCTGATGGCACGGTAGAATGATGAATAAGATTATTAATAAACTCTATACCTTGCTGATTATTTTCTTGCTTCATTAGACTCATATAAATTTCTAGCTGGTCAGCCTGAATTAAAAAAAATATAGATAATAAAAACTAGGGAGAACTCCCATATTAAATTAAATATTTATTAAAACTATCACATCTAGTCCAATCAATAAATGCTTGAAAATGTGGTATAGAGGAAATGGCGACAAAATTTTTGACTTTAAGACATTGTTTGGACTAGTAAGGAAATAAACATATTAAAAGTTTCTGAGACGAGATTCCCGTTCTCTACTATGGCTAATTTAATCTAAGAAAAAAAATGTTATCTCATGTTTATTGCTGTTTTTCGGGTATTCGCTTATATCAGAAAAACTATTCATATCATCATCAAAGACATTCTATACAAAATTAAAGATGATAAAATTTGCAATATACCTTGATTGATTGATTATATACCTTTTTTCGCTATATCGTTTAGTTTCCGATCTTAAGATGCAAGTGGAAAGCAAATAAGTATTTATGAGTATTAAATAAATCAGTTTATGAGGCGGCTTAGTAAGGACCGAGAGACATGGCTGTATTGGATAGAACCTCCTCGAGGTTAATAATGGCATGAAGAGGAAGACAAAGAAGAAATAAATTAGTTTAATTATAAAGAGCCCTATTTCTAAGAATTTTAGTAAATAAAAAATTTGTATATTACAATAAGAAGTCATTCACAAAGTTTTAGGCGGATGTTAAAAGAGTACCATGGGTTAACATAATCAATGTTACAAAAAAGATATGAACTAATAAATATAGAAAACTGAATATGTACTTATGCAAGTAAGAGGATGCAGGAGAAAAATATTTAAACATTTTTTTTTTAACCAACAACAATCATCTTCTAAATCAAAAACATGGTCTAAAATCCATATATAAAAATAATATAATACCTGAGTCCCAATATTGTAAAAAAAATTGTATATTACAATAAGAAGAAGTCATTCACAAAGTTTTAGGCGGATGTTAAAAGAGTATCATGGGTTAACATAATCAATGTTACAAAAAAGATATGAACTAATAAATATAGAAAACTGAATATGTACTTATGCAAGTAAGAGGATGCAGGAGAAAAATATTTAAACATTTTTTTTTAACCAACAACAATCATCTTCTAAATCAAAAACATGGTCTAAAATCCATATATAAAAATAATATAATACCTGAGTCCCAATATTGTATACTTCGGTCTTTCGAGATGTTTTTGTCTGAGTACCTTCGTTATGCTCCATTATTATCTGTAAAATTTTAAAATTTAATTTTTTTTTTCAATATCTCAAACAATCTGTTGGTTAACGTTAAATTATGTTAGAAACAGAGATTGATTAAAAAAATTTTATTGTCCTCTATTTTTAAGAACTGTTTGTGCCTCACAATAAAAATTAAGTGTCCCTGCAAAAATAACTAGGGTACTAATCTGTGGTACAGACCCCTTTTTATCAAATTATTAACATCCACCTAAAACTTCATGGATGGCTTCATCTTATCGTAACCTACAAATTTTTTATTTAAAATAATTCTTGGAAATGGGGCGTTTTCAATCTGGAGATCATTAAACTTGGTCTATTTAACAAAGTAACTCATAAAAACTCATCAACACCCCACACTGGCTTTCTAGTTGAATCGTCACAAAATTAGAGAAAAAAGGTGGCCTATAAAAATATTGCGCCAATTGACGTGATCTCCACCATCAACATGGCAAAATAACGAAGTTATATATGCTAAATGCCCAATATTTGAGTAAGCCACTGGTTTTTTTTTTATTTTGTGACCAAATTATATTACCATTCAATTATAAAGCAAATGTGTAATCGTGAGTTTTAAGTACCTCACTAATCCATTTCTCTCTCAATCCATTTAAAGAGTAAACGCCATACCACAGAGAATTTTCATAGATAAAAAAGTTGTGTTACGATAAAAAAGATAAGATGAAGCTTTTCAGAAGGATGTCAATAATTTGATTTGATAAAATATTTGATAAAAAGGTCAGTACCCCAGACTATACACAACAAGTAGTTTATAGCTGTGAGGAATACAAAGTTTTTAAAGAAAAATTATTTGTTACAAATATATTGATTCACTTAACTTCTATTATAAAAATTAAAGTATGTTGAGATGGAAAAGCATTAGCATTAAAAATAGAAATAATAGTAGTGGGAGAAATATTGTTGACTGAACAAACAATAAAAGAGAAGATGATTTCAGTGGGGAGGGGAGGGAGGAAATCATAATAAAATAAAAAAATTAAAGGTACATTAAAATGCATGATGATATTTCAGCCCATGGTGTAAGCATTATTATTACTTATTTATTACTTAGCAGAACAAGATACAACTGCTTTGGTTCTTTAAAAATTGTACTTTTTTTTCCTACACCTGTTGACTTCGACTTTTTAAGTCATGAGGTCTTCTTCAGCTGCTTGGGGCTGTTATAGGCGACAGTTTGTTCTCTTTTTTTTCGAGATATCCAGGCAGCATGTGGTTTACTAACCAGATGCGATCACATTTCACTCCCTCTTCATCAGGAACTTTCCTGCAGGATGGTTGGCAATCTTTTACTTAAATCTTCCACTCAGTTTTTATGGAACAGGAGATTATCAGCCCTATATACAACCCCCAACTTGGAGGCCCAGGAGCTATGGTTAAAGACCCAGGGATCGCTAATCTCCCTATGAATGTCAGGGTGGGGACATTACCGTCTCAATGTGGCAATCAAACCCTGTGGAGGACCTGGACAACGTACATCGCCGCAGAAGCCGAAAAGATGACTCGCGACCACCGCCTGTTATCGCACGCTTTGTCAGGCAATCAATTAGAGATAATCTAATTACGAAAAGGAAAGTGAAGAGGGATTTCTTCACGCGGGATATCGGTTGGCAGGAAAATGACTGCCACCGAATTTATCTGGGTGAAGAGATGACTCGCACAAACAGACACCTCTATTGGCTAGCCCGGCAGAAGAGAGCGGCGGGAAAAATCAAATATACGTGGTTTGCTTCCGGAAAGATGCGGTGTCGAAAAGAGGACGGACATAGAGTCATCCTGATAGAACAGGCCTCGGATCTAGATGTATTTGACTGACTACCTAGAAGCCGTCAACCCCTTAGCCTCATTAAAATAGTCTTACTTCTTCTCTTAGTGCTATCTCTACACCGTCACTCATCAATCTATTTATTTTCAAGTACATTCTCTTTATTTATTTTTAATGTTAATATTACTTTTTCTTCACTTAGTTTCATGTACGATAATCGCTTTTCTGTACTATCTACTCGTTTTGTCTTCTCGTTACCAAACACTGACTGTTTCTCTCCAAATCCACTGTATGTCTAGTTCCCTAATCACATGTCAAGTTAACTCTCAATCACTTTCTGCCCATTATGACGAATTCCTGCAATACTTTACCCAAAACTTTTATCATATCATAGCAATATCCGAAACCTGGCTCAAACCTTATATTCCATCATCTTCAGTCTCCTTGCCTAATTACATCCTGCTCCGTCATGACCGGGTAAACCGGACTGGCGGTGGAGTAGCCATGTTTGTCCACAATAGCCTAAAGACCCGAATCCTCGATTGCTCCCCATCTTCCGATCATCCTCATGTAGAATACCTCTTAGTAGAAATTCTCAGTAATATTTCTCCTATCCTTTACGCCGTGGTATATCGCCCTCCTCTCGTGCCATTTGACCCGTCCTTCGAATCAACTCTATTCAACTTCGTTCCCCTCTATCCCAGAATAATTATCTCCGGTGACCTCAATACCAATTTCCTCTCAAACTCCAATGACAAATCCTATTTAGAAAATCTGTTTTTCTCACTTCACCTATTCATCGTTCCTTTTTCCTCCACCCACCACACCACCAGATCTGACACTTGGCTAGACTACTACATCATCGACTCAGCACAAAACCTCCTCTCCGCCTCTCAATTGCCAGTATCCTTTCTTTCATCTCATGATCTGATACAAATAACGTATAATATCCGCACTCCTCCAATCCATCCTCGAACTATCACTTTCCGCCAACTGGATACCCTTACTCGAGAAAAAATATTACCTGATCTAGTAACATTGGATTTGAATGGAATATATCATTGCTCCTCTGTCGACACCATGGTTGATATTCTCACCACCAATCTTCTCAATATACTCAATACCCACGCTCCTCTGAAAACCTCCACTTTCCGTCATCGTCCTGCTCCTTGGATGTGTCAGGAAATTAAGGATCTGCAGAAGAGACGCGACGCTGCACGCAGACGCTTCAGACGGACTAGGCTTGCAGATGATTATCAAATATTCAGAGTGCTTCGTAACACGACACAGACAAGGATCCGACAAGCGAAAGCGAACTACTTTCACGAAGCCCTTTCCTCAGCTCCTGATATCAAATCAAAATGGCTTCTACTTCGTAAGCTTTCCCTCTGTGAACCTTCTAGATCCCCTTCCTCAGTTTTCCCAATATCACCTGATGACCTAAACTCCCACTTTATATCGGTTTCCACCTCTTCTTTACCATCCCCTTCCGGCTTTTCTCCAGAGGTACCTTTTAACGACAATAATTTTTATTTTTCCGACATTTCTCCCACAGACCTTATTACCGTTATAATGAAATCCCGTTCCAATTCCGTAGGCCCAGATGGCATTCCTATCAAACTAATAAAATTATGTCTCCCTGAAATCCTCCCAGCACTCCTTTTCATCTACAATTTCTCCCTGCAGAATTCAATATTCCCGACCTCTTGGAAAAAAGCCATTGTCCTTCCTTTAAACAAAAAGCCTAATCCATCCTCTCCCGAAGATTTCCGCCCAATATCAATCCTTTCCAATCTTTCTAAACCCCTAGAAAAGTTAGTGCAATCCCAAGTTTCCAACTACCTTGAACAATCCAACCAACTCGATCCTCTCCAATCTGGCTTCCGTCCTGGCTACTCTACACAATCTGCTCTGATTAAAATTACTAGTGATATCCAGACTGCAATAGATGACAAAAAACTAACCATACTTATACTGCTTGATTTCTCCAAAGCTTTCGATTCCATTATCCATTCCATCCTTTTCAACAAACTAAAATCATTATCCTTCTCCAATAGTTCCATCTCTTGGTTCCAGTCTTTCCTCTCACAACGAACCCAAGCAGTTTCCATACCTAATCAACCTCTATCTGCCTACCTTCCTTTATCCTCAGGAGTTGCACAGGGTTCAAGCATGTCTCCTCTTCTTTTCAGTTCTTATATTAATGACCTAAATGATTCAATTATCCATTGTTCCCACCACCTTTATGCCGACGATTCTCAAATCTATTTATCCTTTTCTCCCGCTGAGTTATTGGTGGCATTTGCCAAAATTCAAGAAGATTTAGATCGAATTAGTGCCTGGGCCAACTTAAATGGATTAAGGCTAAATGCTGCCAAAACTCAGGCCATTCTCATTGGTTCCAAGCCCCTTCTTAGATCCCACACCAACTTTCCCTCACTCTATCTAAACAACCACCCCATCACCTTCTATCCCTTTGTTAAAAATTAGGCTTTCTCATAGATCAAACCCTTTCCTGGAATCACCATATCTCTCATATATCCCGCCGTGCAATTTCTACCCTCAAACTATTCCATCACTTCCGCCATCTTCTACACCAAAATACCCGTAGACTCATAGTTTCCTCTCTCATCTTTCCCCACTTTGACTATAGCTGTGTGGTGTACGATGGCCTCTCGGTGGAACTGCGTGATAGACTCAAAAGACTTATGAATTGCTTCGTAAGATTTGTAATTGGAACCCCGAGATGCTCCCGTGTCTCCCACCACTACACTGAGTTAGGGTGGCTCTTTCCCTCCTTAAGAAGACAATATTTCCTTGGCACTTTCCTTTATCAAATCATTACCGATCATCGTCCTTCTTATGCCTACAACCTTCTCCAATTTAAGTCCTCAATCCATTCACTCACTACAAGATCCCGACCCTCTGACCTATACATCCCTTCTCATAGATCTGCCTCATTCCAAAATTCCTTTATAGCCCGCTCTGTCAACTTTTGGAATTCCCTCCCGATCAAAATTCGACATGCCCCTTCCCTGTATACATTCAAAAATCTCCTATTCCAATTCCTGTTCCAAAAACAGTCTGATACCAGCTAACTATTGATATTATATATGTATTGTGTAGCAATCATATAATCATAACACTTGGTAAGAGATAGTACATGCATTTTCTACTATCAACGTAGGAATTTCAATACATACATTTT